AAAAAAAAAAAAAAAAAAATTAATATAAATAATACTAGGCCAACAACAAATCAACCTACAGTAAAAATGCTAAAAATCAAATAATGACCAATTTTTATGAACAAAGGAGCTGAAATAAACCATGTTGTTGCTGTGTGCAACCACAGAAAAGAAAAAGAAGAAAAAAAGCTCCTAAGGCTATTTCTGAGGCCATCTTAAATCCATGACTTAGGGAAAACACTCTCATAAGTTATTTTGTAAGCACAGCATGCCAACACTGAGGAAACAGCAATAAAACAAAATCTCTTGAAAAGGAGGGCATAGAAGATAATTAAATCAGATTCTAATACAAAAGGGTTTCACTGGGACTGGGAAGGTGGCTCAGTGGTAGAGAGCTTGCCTTGCATGCCTGGGCCCTGGGTTCGATTCCTCAGCACCACATAAGCAAAAAGAAAAAAGCCAAAAGTGGTGATGTGGCTCAAGTGGTAGAGCGCTAGCCTTGAGCTGAAAAGCTGAGGGACAGTGCTCAGGCCCAGAGTTCAGGCCCCACGACCGGACCCCCCCCCAAAAAAAAAGTTGTCACTAAGAAGAGTAATGCAATTTGAATACTTTTCCATAGGGTAATCAGGAAGGCCTCTTATAAGAAGTGAAGACCTAAAGAAAACACTCATTAGTACCATCGATAAAAGTATTCATGTAAAAGACAGAACAAAGCAGAGTAGGAGACAAAAAAGTTGGCAAGCCAGAACGGAAAAGACGGCAAAGACTAGTTATTACACCTGGCCAGGTCAGCATTTAAAAGTAGGATGTTTTCCCCAGTAAGTACTATGGTTAGAAGCACAGTGCTTGCATAGTACACATAAGACCCTGGATTTCATCTCTAGCACTACAAAATATAAATAAGTAAATAAATCAATAAACAGAAAATAATAAAAATAAAAAATGCACATTCAATAATCTAAGAATCTCTATTTGTTCTAAAATAACAAAAAGGTTGTATATCTTTTTTTTTGCGCTGGTACTGGTGCTTGAACTCAGGGACTTGAGCTCTTGGTTGGATTTTTAACTTAAGGGCACTCTAGCACTTGAGCCACACCTCTGCTTCCACCTTTCTAGTGGTTAATTTGGAGATAAGTCTCACAGACTTTTCTTCCAGGGCTGGCCTTGAATTGTGATCCTTCTGTTCATGCTGCTAAACTGACAGGCATGAGCCACCACCCTCCACATGGCTACCTAAGTTTTTAATAGAACTGTCAGAGTAAGTATCTATTATCCTTTGAGCTACAAAGAGAACACTCCAAAAGACATGGCATTCTAACCTTTAGGACTGCTATCTGGCTCATATGTTTGCTCAATTCCTTGTTGTTGAAAGGCAGAGTCTTTCTTTTGAAATATTTCTAAGCTTTCTAAGGCTGTACTATGTTCAGATAGTGATTTTAAGAGAGAAAAGTTATTTACTACCCTAGGAAGTTCTGAACAATCTCTAGAGTTACTCCAGGAATGTGTGCTTTTCCTTGTGGTTTCAACTGCAATACAGTCCTGGGGTGAACTTGTAATTCTTTCCAAATCTTCAGGCTCCAGAATACATGCCTCAGTTTCTTCAGAAATGGGATGGTTTTTTCTCAGAGGGCAAACTAAAGAATTGAAGCCTTGAGTTTTTGATTTATCAAAGGTAATATATTCAGAGTGATCCTTACTGGTATTTAATAGTTGGATATTATCATCAGTGTTAGAGATTGGTGTTAAAACCTCATGTTCATTTTTGTCTAAGTTACTTTCCAAAATAGAAGACTGAGAGTGAGCATCTTCTGAAAACACATAATTGTTTTTAGGAGTCTGATTAGTGACTGTGTCTGCAAAGTGAGGCATATGAAAGCTCCTTTTTAAACCTTCAGACTTACTCAAAGGTGAAACACAATCATAGTTACTTCTAATTTTTTGGATAGATTTTTCAGCACCTTCATTGCTATTCGCATGCTCATCAACAACATCCCATTCTAAAGACAAGTCAAAATTGCTTAATGTGTCCCTATCCTGTTCCTCTATCGCTTTTCCAGTGTTTACATCTTTACAAGCTCCAGTGTCAAAACCCACACAAATTCTATCACAAAACTCTGATAACAGAGGCTCTTTTCTGGGCAATATTTCCATAAGTTTGCCACCAATAGCTGTTAAGAGTGGTAAAGGTTCATTACCAATTTTTTGACAGTTTATATCCTCAGAACTCTTTTGAACACATGAATTGCCATCATTAACCAAAATTTCTTTTTCCCCTTGCTCTGAATCCTGGGAATGTTCGTTGCTTTCCAGTGATTCCTCATCGGTGTCACTGATCTCAAAATTGCTTAGATTAAAAGTTACCTCTATAGATGGTTGTGAAAGTTCACAAACAGCATTCAGACTTTCATTCTCAGTATGACATTCAGAAGACATGCCTGCATTACCATCAGAGAGACTAGAGTTGTTGTTATGTAGAAGAGGTTCACCTTGTATATGTTCTGATTTTGGCAACGGTGACACTGGCTTATAGTCTTGTTCTATCAGTCCATGTGTATAGACTACCTTTTCTCTAATGCAAACTGGTTCTTCTATGCATACTCCATTATGATTAAGAGAGATTTCACTACTTTTTTGATTACTGGATGCCAATAATAAATCATCATTTTCTGTACTGTTACAACTAACCGGTAAGCTGCTGCTTTCACAGAACGAAAGAGATTCTAATTTTTCTTCTTGATTCCAGAATTGGTTGTTGTTGTCTTCATGATACTTTTTTCCTTTTTCAGGGCACGCTTCGAGTGTCTTTTGTGCCAAAAAGTTTTTCAAATTTATATCATCTTCCTGGGACTCAGGCTCCCCTTCTCTATCATTCTCATCTACAGTACAACTCTGTGAGGGTAGATATATGGCCCACCGGCTTTTATATCTGCTATGATTTTCTGATGGTTGCTCTTCACGTAGCTTTTCTGTGCCTTTTGTCTGAGCATACTCTTCCTGTTGAACTAAGTGCTTTGATGTAGTAGGATTTTTTTCAGAACTTCTTTGTGGTTCTACCTGAGAAAAATGTCTTGTAATCTCAAAATTTAGGTTTGATTTGGACTTCAGAAGAGCTAATATCTGTGCTTTGCTTCTGATGGTTTGTGAAACTTCACAGTGAGATACTAAACTATTTCTACTTATGGGCTCATTGGTCAGTAGAGAGTCTGAATGTTTACTTTGAGAATTGATAGAAGAGCAAAAGTAACTTTCTTCACTTAGCAGTTTTGGGTCACTATTGAAGGATGAAGTAGAGACAACTGAAGAACAAGGTGTGTCATTTCTTTCTATGTTCTTATAAGGGACCACATTCTCAGGGACTGTTGGCATATTATTTAGATCTCTTTTGCCAACAGTAGAAAACAAAGGAAGTGTGCTTGAGAATGGAGGAAAAAAAGGAAGATGGGGTTTCTCAGTCTCCAATGTTTCAGCTGATGAAGCATTTTCTGTAACAACCACTTTCTTTGGAACTTGATGTGGTCTTTGATAACCCTAAAAACAGTAAAATAATTGTGATATTACCAACTACAAAGAAAACACAAAATCAATTGACTAAAAATAATAAGCTTTGCCTAAGGCAAGGAAATAATAGAATTTTTCCTTTTTCTTTTGGCCAGTCTTGGGGTTTGAAGTCAGGACCTGGGCACTGTCCCTGAGCTTCTTTTGCTCAAGGCTAGCACTCTACAACTTGAGCTACAGCACCACTTCCAGCTTTTTCTGTTTATGTGGCACTGAGGAATTAAACCCATGGCTTCATGCATGCTAAGCAAGCACTCTACCACTAAGCCACATTCCCAGTCCTAGGGAATTTTTCTAACTACTATTTATTACCTTGCCACCAAAATAAACTATGAAGTAACATTTTAATGAAAGAGCACCTTAAAAAATATTTTGAAATGATTTTATAAATATACATTGATATATCATTTTGCACTTACAGTGAATTTCCTTTTTAACCCAGCAGGTTGACATCCAAGAGAGCGGCCAGAAGATACCTTCCTTAAATTGGGCTCTGTTGTTTCAATGATATCCTGTTTAACTGCTCTACTCCCAGCAATTTTAACCTCCTCAACTGTGATTAAGTATCGATCACTTTCCAAGTCATCTCCTGGTTTCACCTAAATTTTAAAGGATAATAAATACTTGTTATGAAATAATAAATAAATAAGAAGATAAATAAAAGTATAATAAATACTTGTTAAATGAAGGAATGAGTTACTAAATCCTTACTTCTTATTATGCACTAATTAGCAAACAAGCAAAAAAGTGACAATAAAATACAATAACAAATTTCTCTAGTTTGTTCATTCATAAATACATATTATAGTTCTTTAGGAGGCCCTTTGTCACATGCTAAGGGAATAAAGACAAGCAAAAATAAATGTTCCTACTCAAGGAATTTACTTAGGATCTATGTAAGTCCATGTATTTTAAAAAAGATCAAGTAGCTAGGTGCCAGTGGTTCATGCCTATAATCCTACCTACTCAGAAAGCTGAGATCTGAGGATCATGGTTCAAAGCCAGCACGGACAGGAAAGTCCATGAGATTCTTATCTCCAATTAGGTACCCACAAAGCCAGAAGTAGAGCTATGGCTCAAGTGATAGAGCTCTAGCCTTGAGCAAAAAAGTTCAGGGACAGCACCCAGGCCCTGAGTTCAAAGCCCAGGTCTAGCACCAAAAAAAAAAAAAAAAATTGTAAATTATGTCTTCTTTATAAACATATGTGAATCAAAAATGTATTTATAATTACCACTATTAAATATGATAAATTATGTAAGTTGCTTGAATAACCATATTCCAAAAAAAGCAGTTTAATGACTATATAGCATTTGCTACCACTTCTGATTGCAGCATAAAAATAAGACTATCAAGACTATCAACCTAATTTGAAAATACACAAAATCTATCAGATTGATCTTTTACTAGTAAAATTAAGATGAAAAAGCAGCTCTAACCAATTACACATCTACTAAGATGGTTCCCTTCTTCTTATACCCTCTTTTCATAAATATAAAAGTGTAACTACTATTAATGGCATACAAATTTCAAAGTTAATTACATACCATGGCCAAAAGTCCATAGTGATAGTAATATGGATTTTAACACATTTACAATCAATGCAAAAAATAAAAATAAACGCACTAAACTTCCACACACTTTACATTTAGCTATTTTAACCAAATAACCAACCTTAGAGTCTATAATTGAAGAATAGACACAGAGAAGTTGGGTGAAATAGAAAGTGTTTGTGTACCCAATCACAGAGAAGTTGGGTTAGCTAGCTAGGAAATAAACCCAGAGGAACCAACTATAATACTCCATTCTTATAAAATAATGTCTTTAATTCCCTTCCTTTCCTTTTTTTCCAATAAGGGAAAAATACAGAAAATAGAGTAACAACAACAACAAAATCTTCATGCAATAAAAGTAGACCTAGAATTCACATCCTGGGTTCAAATTTCAGCGCTACTACCATAATCTTATGAATGTAGGCAAGTTATACTTGTGCTGTACTCCCAATCTAAAAAAAAAAAAAACCATCATTCCCAACAAGATTAAATGATATATAAAAACTTTATTAAAAAAATACAAACATCAGCTATAATTGTTAGCATTGGTATCATGATTATACTATTTCTATTCACAAAGCAATCTTTAAGAAAATGTTTTAATTATAACAAAAATAAGGTAAACAATAAAATACCTCAAAGCACTTAAGAAATAGAGTTTCCAAACATGTTCCTTTATCATCATATAAAGTTGCCTGTGTTAAAACAAAATAAATGTTAGAAAAAAGAACCAGTATATAATGCATTTTTTTCAGCAAGCCAAAAATTATTATATACGCCAGGAACTGGAATTGCACACCTGTAATCCTAGATATGCAGAAGGCTAGATGGGAGAACTACAGACTGAAACCAGCCTAGGAAGACAAATCCAAAAAATGCTTACCTCTAGCCAGCAAAAAGCTAGAAATGAAGGCACAGCTCAAATGGTAAAGTTCCAACTTTGAGTAAAAAAGCTAAGCAAAATCATTAGGTCTGAGGTCAAGCCTTAGCACTGTCACATACACACACACACACACACAAAATTGTTACTCAAGTAAATCATGCAATATAAGAATTATCCATTTTGTTTGACTTGCATCTGAAAGTACATCTTTTTCAAATATTTACTGTGTATCACTTAGTAAGAAAGTGTAGATATACACATACAAGACTCAAGAACTTAATTTCCACTAGCAAGACCCTAGAATGGAAATGAGAAGACACAGAATTAGAATGCAGTAGAGGGGGCCAAAAGGCACAATACTAATCCAGAGATACTTTAGCAGCATGTTTTGGGTGAGCACTGAGAATGACCAGTACTTGAAATGAGGAATTAGCACTGGGGGTAGGTATGATGAAATCTTGTTGAATGTGAGGGTTAGAGGAGAAAAGCGAAGGTGACACAGCTTTCCTCTGTGTCTGAGTCATTTCTCAATGCATTTTCTCTATTAGCTCCTTTACTATTGGATTTTTCATCACTCTTGAAAAGTTCAGCACTCTAAACAACGTTAAACATAAAGTTACCATATGACCCAAGAATTCTTCTCATAGGTAGAGTGTTGATACATTCAAGGAATTGGACACCAGCCTTTGAGGGGCATTCTGCAATGCTTGCCTTCAGGGTTTCAACCTGAGCCTCTCCCTTCAGCCCCTGAGCAACTTCTTTTTTTTTTTTTTTGGTCAGTTCTGGGACCTGAACTCTGGCTGGGCACCGTCTCTCAGCTCTTCAGCTCAAGGCTAGCGCTCTACCACTTGAGCCACAGAGCCACTTCCACATTTTTCTGCTTATGTAGTGCTGAGGAATCAAACCCAGGGCTGCATGCATGCAAGCAAGACAAGCACTCTACCACTGAGTTATCTTCCCAGCCCCAAAAGCGGTGTTTTTTTTATTTGATTTTTTTTTTTTTTTTGCTATTCCTGGGGTTTGAACTCAGGGCCTGTACACTGTCCCTAATGTTTCTTTTTGCTTAAGGCTAGTACTCTACCACATGAGCCACAGCACCACTTCCAGCTTTTTCTGTTTATGTGGTACTGAGGAATCAAACTCAGGGCTTAATGCATGCTAGGCAAGCATTCTACCACTAAGCCACATTCCCAACCCCTAAGCAACTTCTTAACCAGTCACCCTGTTGCCTTTCCCAAGCCTTAAGACAAATAAAAATAAAGCTTTTTTTACTGGCAGGGGGGAAAAAAAGCATTATGCATGACAATGCACTCAACAATGTTTTTAATCAATACAAATTTAATAATGTTTATTTTCATATCACATTAATGTAACCATAGCCAACATTTTATCTAGAGTTTTCTTAAAAGGAAATCAAAGACAAGGTCCTAGCTCTTAGATTCTGTAACTGGTGGCTTTGCACTTACTTTGTTTCCTAAGTGAGTGACCTTCAGAATGCCATCTTGCCACACTTTTGACTTCTTTGTCTTCTGATGAGTATATAGGACCTTATTTCCAAAAGTACAAAAGCAAAGTAAGTTTCTATTTAAATACATTCAATGTAACTTTTAATATACCCTCCTACAAATAGGAAATATTTAAGACACTTGTGTGTATCTGTGTGTGTATGGATGCACGTGCATGCCAGAACTAGGCTTGAACTCAGGGAACATGAGCACTGTCCGTTAACTTTATCACTGATAGTTGGAGCTCTACTACTTGAGCTACAACTCCACTTCCAGCTTTTTGAGGGTTAATTGGAGATAAGAGTTTCAAACACTTTCCTCCAGGCTGGCTTTGAACTCTGATCCTCAGATATCAACCTCTTGAGTAGCTAGGGTTGTAGTTATGAGCCACAAATATCAGGTAAGACATGTTTTTTCTTTTTACCAGTCCTGGGGCTTGAACTTGTGACCTCAGCACTGTCCCTGAGTCTCTTTGTATTCAAGGCTGGCACTCTATCATTGAAGCCACAGCTTTTTCTGAGTAGTTTATTGTAGATAAAAGTCTCATGTACTTTTCTGTCTGGATTGGCTTCAAACTGTGATCCTCAGATCTCAGCCAATTGAGTAGCTAAAATTACAGGTGTGAGCCACTGATGCCTGGCTGCAAAAGAAAAGCACACTATGGCTGGGAAGGTGGCTCAGTGGTAGAGCACTTGCCTTGCATGCATGAGGCCCTGGGTTTGATTCCTCAGCACCACATAAGCAAAAAGAAAAAAGCCAGGAGTGGCACTGTGGCTCAAGTGGTAGAGTGCTAGCCTTGAGCTGAAGAGCTAAGGGACAGCACCCAGGCCCAGAGTTCAGACCCCACGACCTGACCAAAAAAAAATAAAAGAAAATAAATAAATAAAATAAAAGCACAGATATTATGACAATAACAAGAATATAAATAAAAGAGGCTTGGAGTGAAGCTCAATGGTAGAATGTGTTCTTGGCTTGTATGAAACCCTGAGTTCAATTCCCAGCACCAACCACCACCTCCCACAAAAAAAAAAAAAAAGGAAAGAAAAAGGAAGAAAGCCAGCTAACTGGATAGTAATTTTAAAAACAAAACAAAACACAGGGACAGGAAAATATAAGGAAGACATTAAAAATAAAATTTTGAGCATCAAAATATAATCTTATTCCTATAAGTCAACCATTGGAAGAAAAAAAATTGGTTTACTGAGAACTTATGATTCATACAGTTAGTTTTTTTTTTTTTTTAAGGAAGGAAGGAGAGGAAGGAAGGAGAGAAAGGAAAGAAAGAAGGAAGGACTAGAAAGAAGGAAGTCTGGTCATGGGGCCTGAACTCTGGGCCTGGGCACTGTCCCTCAGCTCTTCAGCTCAAGACTAGCACTCTACCACTTGAGCCACAGCGCCACTTCCGGCTTTTTTCTTATGTGGTGCTGAGGAATCAAACCCAGGACCTTGAGCATGCAAGGCAAGTGCTCTACCACTGAGCCACCTTCCCAGCCCTACAGTTAGTTTTTAAACTGCAGTCCAGACTCCTAAAGGTCTCAATAACCTGTACATGCATCTATGAGCTTAAAACTACTTTCATGTTTTGGCCTTTCTGTTCTCATTTCTTCAAGTGAAGAATAGAGTTTCCCAGGATTATACATGTGTAATTGTGCCAGACTGGATCACAAACTGGATGGAGAAGCAGATGTGAGAATCCAACTGACTTCTACACCAAATGTGAAAGAAACTTGAAAAAAAAATTAATAGCAATGTCACTCTTTTCCATGTTTTCTTTGGCTGTTATTGGGGATTTACAAAAAAATTAATTACTTTTCTTTAAAAAGCCAAGCACAGTGATACACACTTATCATTCAAATTTTACTGAATATACTGCTTGTTCTTTTTGTTTGGATAAATCTGGCCATAGTAGAAATACATTGGTGAAAGAAAGGAATAAAGGAAAAGAGAAAAGAAAGTGAAAAAAATGTGAAAATTATTAAGACTTACAATAAATTCGTGGCTTTCCATAGTTTCTTCTGAAGATATAAGCCAGTCAAGTCCAGAAAATAATCAGTAGTTGTTCACCTAAAGTTAAAAAGGCAGAGAATTGTGCAATTCTGACTTTAAAAAAATTCTTTAATGTCTCAATAGACTAAAAAAGAACAAATTTTAAATGTCTCAAGGGACTAAACTTTTTTTGTCAGCTGTGGGGCCTGAACTCTGGGCCAGGGTGCTATCCTCAGCTCTTCAGCTCAAAGCTAGAGCTGAAGCTAAAGGCTTGAGCCACAGCGCCACTTCTGGCTTTTTCTGCTCATGTGGTGCTGAGGAATCAAACCCAGGGCCTCATGCATGCAAGACAAGCACTCTACCACTGAACCACCTTCCCAGTCCCTAAACTAAACTCTTGACTGGAAACTGGAATCATTGTCCAAATATTCTCTAATGACCAAGGAAAACAGAGGCTCGATCAAATTATTTGTGACCCAAGACACAGAGTGATACCACACGGTGATAAAAGAAAAAGAAGTTACCAAATATATAGAAAACTAAATAAAATAGTGAGTTAATTAACAGTCTGCAAACACTTTTCCAAGCAACAGAACATGTATCAATTCAATTTTTTTTTCCTGAATGGCCATACCCACCACAAGATGGCACCTTTGAGTTAAAATTTTTCCTTTTATGGAGTACCCTTTCCTTTCCCTTCTGGCAGGGCTAAGGCTCAAACCCAGAGCCATGAGCACGCTAGGCAAGCCCCCTACCTTTGAACTACATCTCCAACTCCTCCCTTCTTATTTTACCACAAAATAGGAAGGCTTTATCCACCAGCATCATTCTGTTAAGGCAATCTTTCAGACAATTCAAGTGCTGATCAACCACTAATAGGTAAAAGTACAGTCTACAAAGGAGTTTTTTTAAAGTGGTATAGACTCCAGATGTTCAATATGTATCTACATACATATCATGCTCTATATAAATAGAAATTTCATAAGTTGTTATCTGTAAAATACCTGCCATTCTTCCTGTTAATTTGGGCAAGGTGTGTTTGGTCTGTATGTTTATGAACATAAAAGAATTTAATGAATGAAAACCCTTAGATGTCTATATTAAAAGTTTAAAGATGCAGGGCACCAGTGACTTACTTCTAGACTCCTAGCTAATATTTGAAAGTCGAGGTTGGGGAGCCAGCTGAGACAGACAAATCTCTAATTAACCAGCAAAAAGGCTGTGAACTGGAAGCATGTGGCTCAAGTGGTAGAATACCAGCTGTGAATAAAAAAGCTGATTGAGAGCTGGGAAGGTGGCTTAGTGGTAGATGGTTTGCCTTGCATGAAGCCCTGGGTTTGATTCCTTAGAACCACATAAACAGAAAAAGCTAGAAGTAGCACTGTGGCTCAAGTGGTAGAGTGCTAGACTTGAGCAAAAGAAGCTCAGGGACAGTGCCCAGGTCCTGAGTTCAAGCCCCAGCACTGGGGAAAAAAAAAAAGCTGGTTGGTAACTGAGAAGCCCTGAGTTCAAGCCCCAGTTGGCTGCACAAATGCACAAATACATACACAGAAAAAAAAAAAGCCAGGCACTGGTGGCTCATGCCTGTAATCCTATTCAGGAGGCTGAGATCTGAGGATCGTGGTTCAAAGCCAGACTGGGCCGGAAAGTCTGTGAGAATCTCATCTCCAACTAACCACCAGAAAACCAGAAGTGACACTGTGGTTCAAGTTGCAGAGCACTTGCCTTGAGCTTAAGAGCTGAGGGGCAGCGTCCAGACCCAGAGTTCAAGCCCCACAACCGATAAAAACAAAACGAACAAACAACAACAACAAAAACACAAAACATTGTTTCCCAAAACCCCAATGGCAATGCCGAGCTCTAATCCCAGCCCTAGGGAGGAGAAAGCCAAACTGGGTTACCTAGTGAAACTCTACCTCAAAAAACTAAAGTTCCCTGTACTGCAGCTGCAGCTCAATGCAGCTCTTGCTTAGTGTGCACGAGGCCCTGCAGAAAATACTGAAAACTCAAAAACGTTCAGACCCTGGCATTCAACATCATAAGTGAATCATCAAGTCTAAATGACGAAAGGAAACCTAAATGTCATTTACCAAGATTCTAATAGGACTCCGGTGCCAGTGGCTCACGCATGTAATCTTAAGTTACTCAGAAGGCTGGGATCTGTGGGACACAGGAAGAAAAGTCTGTAAGGCTCTTCTATCCAATTAACCAGCCAAAAAAAGGGGGGGGGGAAGGGGCAGAAGTGAAGGGTGACTCAATCGCTACAGCTTCAGCCTGGAGGGAAAAATCCAAAGGGCAGTGCCCAGGCCCTGAGTTCAAGCCTCGTTATCAGAACAACAACAAAGGTTTTCACAGGAAAGATCTTGTGTACTAAAAATGGCAGTGGAGATCCTGTCAGCCTTAAAAACACATGGCAAAGGTCTCCAGGGCCTCAGACTCGGAGGAGGTGCAGCGCAGGTCTGAGCGAGGCGGTAAGGATGACGGGGTGAGTACAGGCCGTCGGAGCCGGCAGGGACAGCAAATCTTGGTCCCGGGTCGCTGCCTGTGGAGCCCATTCTTCCCTCCCTTCACTCCTAGTCGTTCAATCACTCCAATTCATCCCTCACTTCCCCCAAACGCGAGAAATAGTTCACTTCACCTGTCCCATTGCACAAAATGGACATTTTCGAATTTCTCCCGCGTACGAGTGTGACGTCATCGACATGGGACCGCACCGGAAGATCAACTACTAATCCGCCCCCTAGCCGTCTTAGCCAGAATCGCCGTTTTTTCCAACAGCCAATCACATTCTTCCTCGGGGTGGAGGGCGTTCCCCCCGCCCTCAGACGTCGCGCTGAGCTCTCCGAAACCCCGCCCCCTCAAGAGGCGGCGCTGTCCTCTGACGTCTACGGCGGACGCACGGCGTTCCAGCGTGTCTTCTGCTGGAGGAACGAGAGAACGGTGTCGCTCTTCGTGTGACGCGAAATAACCACGACCGTAAGGCTCAGAGAACGAAAAGTGCTGGAGGAAGCAGGCTCTGAGCCTGCATTTGCGGGAATTGGACGAAGTAAGTTCCAGGTGGCCTGTGGGGTCCCTCCGATCGGGTGCCATCTTCCTCGCCGCCTTTTTTTCATACAGTTCATCTTACGTGTGGCGCTCGCTCCGCCCCCTCCCGCCAGTCCGTCCGTTCACTCGGCTGGTTCTCTGTGCGCACGCGCAGAAGTGCTCAGGCGGCGCGGTTCCAGTTTTCCGCGCGTGGGGGCGCGCGTCTCCCGGGGACAGGACAGCTTCGGGGCCCGCCCGGGGTTTGGCTGCCTCTGAGCGGAAGTACGGATGCCGACGGGGTCCCCTCCCCCTCTGCCCCTAGATTGGAGTTGAGTTTCGACTGTCAAAGGATAATGAGTGTGTGACGCCTTGCAGTCTACGATTAAGTCGTTCTTCTATGCGAGAATCTCATCCTTGCCTGGCGCCAGTGGCTCACATCTGTCACCCTAGCTATTCTGGTGGCTGAGATCTGAAGATCAAGGTTCGAAGCCAGCCTAGGCAGGGGAAAAAAAAAATCCATGAGGCCAACCACCAAAAAGCCGGAAGTGGAGCTGTGGCTTAAGTAGAAGAGCACCAGCCTCTCGTACAAAAGCTCAGAGACATTGCCCTGGTTTCAAGCCCTTGGAAGGGCTCAAACAGACAAAAACCGTTAAAGTCTTTACAGAGAATTGAAAGTTCAGTTGTAAAAGAGAACTAAATACGGTGTGCCAAGTGCGTTGTTAAGAGATATTTGGGGAAAACAGATGTGACAAGGAAGGCATGGCGGTAGGCCACGTGGCCTAAGCCTCGTAAATTGAATAGAAAGGTTTGTTTGCTGGCTTGTTTGGTGCCAGTACAGGGCTTGAACTCGACCTGGTTTCTGTCCCTGAGCTGTTTTGCCCAAAGCTGGTGCTCTACCACTTGGTCCACAGTCCACTATTACTCTGGGGTGGTTAATTGGAAATCAGTCTCAGACTTTTCTTCCCTGTCTGGGTTCAAACCCTGATCTATAGATCTCAACCTCCTGAGTAGCCAGGGTTACCAGCGTTAGCCACCAGCTCCCACTGTAAGCCAGAATGACGGGGGGACTTCAGCCACTACCTCCAGCCTTGAACAGGGGTTTATGCAGCTTAGAGTGCTCATTCAAAACAAAAGCAAAGACCTATTCACTTTGGCTGTGACCACAACCTTTTATTTTTCCACATGAGTTATTTTTTTTTTAACCTGAAGAAGTTGTAGATGAGTTTCTCTGAGAACTGTTCATGTACCTATCAAACTATTCTGAGTATAATTTTATAAGGAAAATTTGAGAAAGCCAAAAAAGTTACCTCACATCCTACCTAACTTTATCTGTGCCTTTCATTATTTTATTATTATAGCTATTATTTTACAACTGTAACTTGCAGGAAAAAAGAAGTGGAAATTAGGTTTGTTCAGGGGAATTGTCACTACAATGTCCTTACATTGATTTTAACATTCCTGATTGCCAGCATGTGTATCTACTTTTTGAATTTTCCTTTGATTTGTTTTATAGCACTTCCCTGATTACCTCATTAATTACCATGTCTTCATGTACAAGAATGTTTTGGCCTTTCTGTTAAATTTATCATTTAATCGTTTTATGAAGTTTACAAAAATTCTTGAAACTCAACGGATGTTCCTTAGACTTCTGTTTGAGAATTCCTGAGTCATGGCGCTGGTGGCTTAAGCCTGTAAGCCTAGCTACTCAGGTGGCTGAGATCTGAAGATCATGGTTCAAAGCCAGCCTTGGCAGGAAAGTCCATAAGACCTATCTCCAGTTAACCACCAGAAAACCGGAAATAGCCCTGTGTCTCAAAGTGGCAGAGCATTAGCCTTGAGCAAAAGAGATCAGGTCAGCTCTCAGGCCTTGAGGCTGAGGCTCTATGGCTGACAAAAAAAAATTCCAGTACTTGGCTAGAAGAAGCAAGAGGTTGCAAGTTCACAGCCAGCATGGGCAACATAGCAAGGCTCTAGCTCAATGAAGCAAAACAAAACAAAAGGATTCGAGAATCAAAATATAATGTGATGGTAGGTTCTACTGAAGAGTAGTTTGTGTGAAAGTTGTTCGTATCAGGACCCTCTTATCCAGCTAGTTTGGGCCATATTACTTAAACTTTTAAGCCTCCTTTTAAAGAAAGTGGAACTGCTATGTGGGATTATGGAGATTTAGAACAATGTGTATAAAGTAATTAGCATTGTTACATAGTAACTTTTATTTTCCTAAAGCCCATGTATGAAAGTCAAGGGTGACCAGTTTACTTACAGTATCTTCATTACATATCATAGTAAAGGAATATTACATTGCTGAGGAATAGCACATTTGACATCAGCAGTATAAATCAGATCTGTGATTATGCCAGTTGCACAAAAATAGGGTTCTTTGAAGAATGCATGATATTCAGAACAGATTATAAGCTGTGTCTGCCTTATTTTAGTGGCATAAAATGTTGGGGATAGTCAAGACAAATTGATAAATAATAATGTAGTTACATATAATTATGTTCTCTACAGCAGCAATTTCAAATGCTCGGAAGAATGTGGCATTGTTAAATAATATAAGGGTTGTAGAAAGAATAGATCTTGGTAGGAAAGATAATGAATTTGACTTGGAATGTGTGGAATGACAATACAATACCTCGAGAAAATACAAGCTTTGAGAATTAAGAAAATTATTGCCATGTAACTTCCTGATTTTGTGTAATATTGTATGAAAAATTGTTTTATATCTTATGAAACCTGTTTAATCTATCCTCTAAATCAAAGGTGTACTTGCTCATTCTGCACTTGACTACTCAAAGTTACAAAAATGCTTATTAGGAGAAAAATGAAAGAGAGTCTCTAGGCTTAGATACACCATTTTATTTCTTAGATGATAGGCTTCAAAAAGAAAGGGATTGTAGAACAGATAGTCTGCCTTCTATAATTTACAGGAAGCAGGAGAGCCTGCTATAGAGATTATCATAGCCTACATTTGTATGTTATTTATATCCCACAATCATACAAAAAGAATTTGAAGCTGGGCGCCAGTGGCTCATGTCTATAATACTGGCTACTCAAGATATTAAGATCTGAGGATCAACATTTCAAACCAGCCCCGGCAGGAAAGTCAGTGAGAATCTTATTTCCCATTAATCAGCAAGAGGCCAGAGTGGAGCTGTGGCCCAACTGGTAAATCACCAACCTTGAGCAAGCTCAGGGACAGTGCCCATGCCCTGAATTCAAGTCCCAGGACTAGTATACACAGACACACACAGACAAGAGTTTGGAATGTTTAATGTTTTACAGATACTTTAAAATATGTTTATTCAACAGATACATAGTGATCAAGTTAAAATTTCTGCCTCATTTGTGGAAACCCAGACCTAGCTCCCTAGCTTCTATCTTGTGTTCATCATTATTTCACACATGCCCTTGACTTCCACATTGTTTTTGTCCCATGTTTGGGACTGACATTGTAATAGATTTTTCTATCTGTGGAAAACAATTCAAAACAGAGAAGACAGAAAAAGAAGCAATGACTAGGGCTGGGAAGGTGGCTCAGTGGTAGAGTGCTTGCCTTGCATGCCTGAGGCCCTGGGTTCGATTCCTCCGCACCACATAAGCAAAAAGAAAGCCGGAGGTGGCACTGTGGCTCATGTGGTAGAGCACTAGCTGTGAGCAGAAGAGCTGAGGGACAGTGCCCAGGCCCAAAGTTCAGCCCCCACGACTGGACCCAAAAAAAAGCCATATTCGTAGTTACTACATATGGGTGTCTTTCTACAGGAATGCACATATGGGTGTCTTTCTACAGGAATGGAAAGTGAAAAAAAAGAAAGTACTGAAAAGAAAAAAGAAGTCGAAAAAAAGAAACGCTCTCGAGTTAAACAGGTGCTGGCAGACATTGCTAAGCAAGTGGACTTCTGGTTTGGGGATGCAAACCTTCATAAGGACAGATTTCTTCGGGAGCAGATTGAAAAATCGAGAGATGGATGTAAGTTTTTGTTTTATTACGTACACACGAATATTGATGTTGTATAAACAAATAAATGTGATAAGGACTTTCATGGATGATTAAAGGTATAGGGGCCAGTAATGAATAGGAAAGAAATAAGCAGAGGACCAACTTTCCTGGGGGCTTAAGGTAACCAAGGAACAAACCTAAAACTATTTAACCTTATTGAATTTAACCTCCTTCAATAGATGTTGATATATCACTTCTGGTATCCTTTAACAAAATGAAAAAGTTGACCACTGATGGGAAGTTAATTGCCAGAGCATTAAAAGGCTCAGCTGTTGTGGAGGTAAGTAAGGTGTATGTTTAATTATACATTATAACTACAAGTTTATCATCATTAAACTAATTTATATTTCCATCGACTAAAGCTGGATTTAGAAGGCACCAAAATTAGGCGAAAAAAACCTTTGGGTGAAAGACCAAAAGATGAAGATGAACGCACAGTATATGTGGCAAGTACATTTAATGGAAAGTTTTAAGAGACAAGCATTTATTCATTGTTAAAGACACAATATTTTGAATTTATTAATATTTGTTACAGGAATTACTTCCCAAAAATGTTAATCACAGCTGGATTGAAAGAGTATTTGGGAAATGTGGCAATGTTGTTTATATAAGTATACCACATTATAAGTCTACTGGAGATCCAAAAGGATTTGCGTTTGTGGAGTTTGAAACAAAGGAGCAGGCAGCAAAAGCTATTGAGGTGGGTGCAGGGTCCTAAGGGAAAAGAAAGAGAAAAAAGTCACGCTTTATAGTAAATTTTTTTTATTGCAGTTCCTTAACAACCCACCAGAAGAAGCACCGAGGAAACCTGGCATATTTCCCAAAACTGTAAAAAATAAACCTATTCCGGCCTTAAGAGTAACTGGTGAGTACAGTAACTATAGTAATTACTTTGTATTTAGTGCTCAAGCAAAATAAAAACAAATATTGTTGCAGATGAGAAGAAAAAGAAGAAAAAGAAAAAAGGCAGAATAAAGAAAGAAGACAGCACACAGACCAAAGATTTAAACATGGACACAAGTAGCTTATCCCTCTGTAAGATAAAAAGATCAAGGACTGCATCTGAGGGCTCTGACGCAGAGACACCGGAACCCCAAAAGCAACCTGCAAAGAAAAAGAAAAAACGAGATAGAGATAGGGGTGAAAGCCTAGCGGAAGGCAGAGCGGGGAAGAGGAAAAGAAGCAGCTCTGGAGATGCAGAATGCCTGGCGCCAAGATCAAAAATTAAGAAAATAACTCAAAAAGGCATTAAAACGGAAGCTTCTGAAATTTCCAAAGAAAACAGAGGTTTGACAATTAAAAACTTTTAATTAAATTTAACTTTTAAGTTAAATTTTTAAGTTATATCTGAAACAAAAAAATCACTTTCTTTAACTGGATTCTCATAGATCTAGAATTTTCTACAGAAGAGGAAAAAGACACTGGAGATATTAAAGATGGTTCACTACTGAAAACTAAAAGAAAGCACAAGAAAAAACATAAGGAGAGACATAAAATGGGTGAAGAGGTTATACCACTGAGGGTACTTTCCAAGTGAGTATTATATTATGATGACTGACAACATTCCATCACCATTGCTAAAGTGCAATTCCAATTTAGTGAACAGAGTTGCATATTAGCAACAGTGATGGCATATCGCCTAGTTACCAGAACGTGGTATGTCCTGAGGTTTAAGTAGGAACCACCACACTCAAACATGGAAGCACTTATTTGTTATGTCACAGCAAGAGCCTCCACGTTAAAGTAAAGGGGGCCCCTTAAGACTTTTCCACTAAACACAAGCTTCATAAAACGCAAAAGGAAAACTTACCATCACCAAAACATGGAAGCACTTACTTTTTTAGATCCAAAGCAAGTACATCCACGTTTAAGTGATGGGCAGCCCACGTTTGCTGTAACTTGGAACAAAACTGTTCATAGCAAAAAAAAAACAAAAAACAGAAAAACTCACAAACGTGTGCCAATGTAGAGTCACCTCCACTGAAACATGGAAGCACTTACTTTTGAATCACACAGCAGGTACCCCCATGTTAAAGCAAAGGGAACTCCCTAATAGTCAATCACTGGTGAGATGTCTCATCCTGAAGTAAGTTGAATTCACTTCTACTAAAACATGGAAGCACTTACTCTGTTATTTAAAACTCACAGAAAGCACACCCATGTTAAAGTGGAAGGGAATCCAGCACACAGAAGAGAAAGAAACATCTCCATACAAACTTTTCCTTTACCTCCAGAGCATACTTACCAAAGTGCAGTTCTCTTTTCAAAGGTGAAAGATAGAGACTTGGGGCACTTGTATTTATACTATTCTTAACTCCCAAATTCCTTTTGCTTTTTATCTCGGAGAATCATTACAAGAGCCTTTTGTTATTTTAATGTATCTGCTCTCAGGGAAACTCTGGTGGGTGGGGTGGGATTCTGGGTTGCCCCTATCCCCACCCCATATTTTTTTTTTTAAGTACAGATGTCAATGTTAACTGCTAAAACCATTACCATTAGATATCCTCTTAAAAAAACAAAACTCTTGTATCTTTTTTTTCTTTTTTTCCCTTTGGCACTGATTAGAGTTAACAATGAATGCTCCTACTGAGCTAAGAGATGCATTGTGTTTATATCTTGAGGAGCTCTAGCTGTTTGGAGAAATAGCTACATGTTAAAATATATGTAAATAAATAAATTGCTTCCTTGGGGTGCTATTTTCTTCACTGAAATCCTTTTGATTCAACTAAACCCCTAGGAATGTTTGTCTCACATTGGAAGCAATTTTACAAATAATCTTTAAATTTTCTCACAAAATGATTTGATAAATACTAGTAATTAACCAAGGAATTACCTTATAATTTTTACTTTTATAAGGTAAACTCTGAAAAGAAGCACTTAATATCGATGTTGAAACCAAAAGAATTTCCTGTGCCTGTTTACTGAATGTATTTAGGAACGAAAATAGTGAAGATTTAGAAACTAAGTAATTTATATATTTTAAAGAGGAAAGTTGAAAGTCATTGGAAAAGTATAATATTTAGATTAATCTCTATGCTTGTTTTGAGCCAGTTGTCATTATTTCTAAACATTATTTTTTGCCTTACAGGATTGAATGGATGGATTTAAAAAAAGAGTATTTAGCACTACAAAAAGCCAGCATGGCTTCTTTAAAAAAAACAATATCTCAAATAAAATTGGAGTCAGAAATGGAAACAGACAGTAGTTTACCTAGTAAGCCTGAAGTGAAAATTGCAAAAGGTAAAGATCACCTATTTTGTAAGATTGTAATGGATGTAAAGATATCATTTTTATAATATATATTTAGGAGTTGTAGGTATACCCAGTGATATAGTGCCTGCCTTGTTTGGACAGGACTCTGGTTTGGCTCTCCATCTCTGGAGTGGGAAAGAGGAAGAGGAAAGAAAGAGAAAAGAATCATAAGGGCTCCTTTTAAATAACATTTTTTTCCTACTCTTTCCCTACTTTTTATGACTGATTTGATTGTGTAATAAGTTCATAGTTTATAGAAGTATAGTTTCTTACCTGAAATATTTTTTGTCAGTCCTGGGACCTGGCGCTCTCCTTGTTCAAGGCTAGCACTCTACACCTTTGAGCCACAATGTCACTTCCGGTTTTCTGAGGTTAATTGGAGATAAGAGTCTCATGCACTCTCCTGCCTGGGCTGGCTTTGAACTGTGAGCAACCAGCACCTGGCTCTTACCTGAAATTTCATTCAGTAAGGTGGACAACAAGCAAGGATAAGTTCATTCAATTTAGGATAAATTTTAAATACCTATAGCTTGCAAAAAAATGTCTATATATATCCTCAGATTTGAGTAGTAATGTTTAACAAAAAGTCTTAAGTATAATACTTTAGTTCTTTGGTTCATGGATAAGGGGGTGTATTTTTATAAATTCTCTTCACAACATGAATAATGATATTTTCTACCTTCATGATATTTTCTATCTTAGTAATCTGAAATAACTCATCGTATTTTTTAAACTAAGTAAGTTTTAAATAAATTGTTTCAGGTCGCTTATGAAGAAATCTTTTGTTATTCTGTAGTAGTACTTTCTAAGTGTTAAATTATTCAATGTGAGTGATTTAATCCTGGTCTTTTTCCCTTTTCAAATCAACAGCCAACAGTCAAGAGTGTCGCCCTCTGGAGAACACAGGACCACAATTTGTTAGTGGCGTGATTGTAAAAATCATTAGCACCGAGCCTTTACCTGGGAGAAAACAAATCCGGGTAATACTTTCAAGCTCCTAGGTGGTCGTTGCTTTTCTTAACTTCCTGGTGTGAAAATATTGTCACTGTAATATAGAAGACAAAAGAGATCAAATTAGAATCTATATTCTAGCCAAAACCCCACTCCATAATTTGAAGCAAATTCTAAAGACTCTGCATCTTAAGGATTCTTGTTTTCTGTCACTGATGGTTGCCTGCTGTGTAGTTGCAAAGGGAAATAATGCGATAGTCATCTTGACCACACACTAGTATTTACCACACATTTTCTGAAACACTATCAATTTTCGGAGTTTTAGAAAATTGCTTGGTAGATAATTTTTGTGAAGATATAATCATCATTATTTATCTGGAGTTATTCCGAAATTATAATTATTGCTTAATTTTGAAGCAAACTAGAAAACATACAAATTTTTATCTGGAATTTTTTAGCTTTCAATAGGTTCTTATATTTTATTACCTACAAAAAGTAGAAATTGTTATTACAAAATAAAAAGAATAATGTATGTTTTTCACTTGGTGTTGGTTTAGATTTTTGTTTGTTTGTTGATTAGCTATTGCAGATTTGGGGGAATTGAAAGAAATTTTTTTTTAGAAAATAGCCTTTGGATTTTTTTTTTTAATTCAATCCAGAGCTAGCAGAGTAGATCCAGTAAACATGAATTTGGACCCCAATGCCCAAAGAACTCAAAACAAAAATTTTAAATACTGTTCTATAAAACGTTATATAGTTTACATCTAAACAGTCTTTTATACAAACAAAGCAATACATTCATTTTAATGTAGTTAGATTCCTCTGTGAGGAACAGTACTTGATCACACAAGGTGAGGTACCAATCTTTTATATTCTCTTCTGTAACTTTCACTACTGTGTAGTTTGTCTTGTTTGGGGCTTGAGACCTGTGCAGATAGTTTTTCACTATACCCTCTATCTAAAACTTTATCCTTAAAATCCTATCGCTATCACTAATAAGTAAGGATTTTGCCAACCCTAAAAGAATTTAGGAGAACAGGCTAGAAAATTGAGAAATAAACATGTTTTGTGCAAAATCAGAAAGCAACTGCAGTAATGAAGTTAATAGTTACATTTTGCTTATATTTTGCTGGAACAAAAACTAAGTTGTGTTGGTAACTGTGACTTGCCCCTGTGATTACCAAGTTAATTTGTCATTATAGGGTTTTAAATCGGTCTTAAATCTAAAGATTAGGCTCACATTATAATGGATATTTAGTAAATATCATTTGAATTGTGCTTTTCTACCTGAAAAAGTGGTTATAAAACTCAATGAATAATTCACAATTCATCAGTTTATTACCAGTGGTTTTTCTTGGCTGTGTTTCTAGATGTTGTACTATAAACTAAATAAAGCTCTCCAGTTTTTTCTTTTTATTGATTCACCAAACATTTACTACATGCCTGGTTTTCTGAGAAACAGTATGTTAGGGTACATAGACGTGAAGCAGTACCCTTTTTTTAGAGACTCATGTATATTACTACATAGCATAAACTCTTCTTAGTCTATAATGAAGTATTTCCATTCACTGCTTGATCTCTGGATACTTAGAAATTCATATTCAAGAGTAATAGAAATAGTTCCTTCTTAAAAAATTAGGTAAAAACTAAAAGGAAACCAGGTAAATAAAACATTCTTTCCCCAGTTGGAAATCTCCCTCTACTTCTTTAGCTTTATGAATGAAAATTGATGAATTAAGAATTAGTGTGACATTCCTGCATAAATGCATTCAGTGTTCTCTGGAACCTGCTGTGAGAGACTAATTAAGGATGCAGGAATCTAGCTAATTTGCCCTCACAGCAGGAGTCCTAGGTAAAACTTAACCCTTATTGGTGATCTCCACTTATTTAGAAGTTATATTGGTATCTTATCAAAATCTAAGTGGTTTTGTGCTGTGTTCCTATAGATCTACTGACAAACCTTAGAATTTTGGTAGGTTCAATAGAACTTAGTTTTCATGAGTTATAAAGAGTTGAAAGGTCATTACACATATTTTAAGTCATAAGTGGTGTACAGGTGAGTAAAAATAAGCCTATCCCCAAGTCCTCTGTCTTTTTTTGTTGGTCATGGGATTTAAACTCAGGGCCTGGGTGCTGTCCCTGATCTTTTGGACTCAAAGCTAGTGCTGTACCACTTTGAGACACCTTGCCACTTCTGGTTTTCTAGGAGTTAACTGGAGATAGGACTTTGGAATTGTCATCTTCAGCTCTCAGTCTCCTGAGTAGCTGGTATTATAGGAGGGAGCCTTCAGTTCCCAGCCTTGTCTTTTCTTTTAACTTTGTTCCTTTGGATTGTCCATCCCATTCTACACATATGTTGTCCTTAATAGAATATTTCTAACTTCATTCATATTTTAAGGACATGGTTTAAAGGAAGGAGGTTAATCATTAGACTTGTGAATTAGGTTCTGCTTTTTGTAAACCCAAATCTATTTTTAGGACCATTTCTGTGTTTCAAAAGTGTTTGATATATTTACTCAATCTGCATCATGGTGTACTTGTTTGTGTAATATCTTGCAGTGCCCATTAGAATTACTTTAGATGTATTATGAAGTATCATTATTGATTTTTATGGTATTCTGTTTAATTCCAATGCAGGACACCTTGGCCACAATCTCAGAAGTTGTTTATGTTGATTTGCTAGAAGGAGACATAGAATGCCATGCCAGATTTAAAACCCCTGAGGATGCTCAAGCAGTAATGAATGCACATACTGAAATTAAAAAGAAGCATAACTGGAAACTTGAAGTCCTTTCTGGTAAAACTTACTAGAAATATTTTTTAAAAATTGATCTATTTCAAATTCAGGTCTTTCTCCAGCTATTCTATTTCTATTAATAGGGTTTCATTTGTGTTTTCTCGTGTGTGTCATTATTCAGTGATTATAGCTTGCTTTTTTTATTTTAAGGTGATCATGAACAGAGATATTGGCAGAAGATTTTGGTAGATAGACAAGCCAAACTTAATCAGCCTCGGGAGAAGAAAAGAGGCACTGAGAAGGTAATCAGTTTTTTGTTTTATATCCTAAACTGTTTCTGGAGGTTAATTATCTTCTGAAAGTTAGTAACAGATAATCATAAATAACTTTAGTTATTTAGTAAAACTAAAACTTAGCAAGTACAGTGTTTTAGATTGAGAGGGACTACATGTTTCTCAGTTTTAAAATATATGAAATATATGAAATGAGATTTTTTTCTGTAAGGATACATAATATTTAAATTAATATTATATGGTTTTTGTTTAAAGCAGCAATATTTTACACAATAAATTTAGTCTTGACATTTGCAGTTTACATGACTGTATATCGATTGTATTTATGTAAAAACCACAATATATTTTGAATGTAGTTTATGAAGATAGGAGGTGGCTACAGAGATAACATTCAGAGAGTTAAGACTGAGATACATGGCACCTATAGCATTGTTAAGCATTATTGTTATTCTCCAAAAAAGAGAGTCAGCATAAATAAGCTTTAGGCAGTTTCTCTCAATTTTTTAACAAATATGATACTAATAACTTTATGTTTTTGCTATTAAACTATGGAGTTCGTTCTTTGGAAACATTTTCTGGCATATGCTTATACAAGCTAATGTGTTCAGAACAGAGTAGAGTATATGATAAAAATATTATCACAACTTAGAACTCTTATGAAAGCCTGAGGAAATCCTAAAAAATGTACGTTTGGTGAAAACTTCGAAAGTCAAACTTTACGTATTCGCAGCTTGTTTTGTGTTGTACTTAGTTTTTTAACATAAAAATTTAGTGTTTATTAAAATACTACGAGACAGCCCCCCTTGTTACAAAAGTTACTCAAAAGTAAAAAATACATATGGATTTTTTCTTCAGCCATCCATTGCGCTAGCATTCATTGGAACTTATGATTATTTCAGGGGTAGTTTCCTACTGGGCTTTGTTAAATGTGTTTTCTAGAATAGAGACTGAACTTGTTGATAGGGAAGCCTCCTGCCTTCCTAATGACTAAGGTCTCTGTGGTGCTAATTTCAAAGCCTTTTTGAAATTATTTAAATATTAAAAGCACTGATCCAGAACCTAAAACTGGAAGTTAGTTTGTAAGTAAAACTTAATCCTTTAATTTGTGTGAAGTGTCATTTAATACTGGAAATTAAGAACATTTGTTTTTTAATTTTAGAAATTGTATAAAGTTCTGTTCTTCATTGAGTTGGAGAATTCTTTTCCATAGTTACCTGTTTCACTATCAGGGTTGGTGATAGCACAATTTATTGTGAAGTAGAAACAGCTGAAGCTGTAGAATTAAAGCTAGTTAGCTCATAAACTAAAATAAAAAGGAGATACTACACAGAGTATTATACAAAGCTTGTTAAAGGAAAGGAGAAGACCACAATTTACCTACTTGTTTAATAATTAACTCAAACTAAATAAGCTGCTGTTAATTTTCTACCAAGGAATTTTGAAGTCTAGAATCATACTATGTGTTAGCTTGTTTTCACACAGCTTCATTTTCCTTATAATGTAGTTCAAATGAAAGATGCTTGCCTTCCACATCCAAGGCCCTGATTTCTAGCCCTTTTACTAGCCCTTTACTTTTAAAAAGTAACCAAATCCAATGGATGTTGCAAGGGTGTAATAAATAATACCTACTTTTGATATTAGATCTCTGTCAAATCTTAAATGATTTTTTTAAGTGTTTAAACATGTTTGACACATAATTGTACATCTTTGTGGCATTTCTTTGTCTTAGGAACTTTGAAAAGTTCTGTCAGTATTTTTATGTTGTTTTGGGATTTTTCCTGTTTTGTTTGAGTATTTTGGAAAGGTTTGGTACTTTTTTTTAAAAGACAGGATCTCACTATCTTATATAGTCCAGAATTTTCTCCAACTCGTGATTTTTTTTTCTTATTTTTCCAGTGCTGGGATTACAGGCCTGGGGCGTCACCATTCTTCTGGTTACTTATAAAACATATAAATTGTTGTAAACTCTAGTCACCTACTGTGGTTTACTGGAATTGAAGAACCACTCTAATGAGCAGTTTGTAAACAAACTTTTATAACAGCTTAGGAATATATTGTCTTTTTGAAAGTACCATGTAATTAAGTGCTTTTGATCATTGGATTTGTAACTTAGTAATTAGTACCAAGTCCATACTGAACAATAAAAGTATGTCATGTATCTTTCTAAGAAAGGTTAAGATTTACCAGAGTTGAGGAGTGACTATTTTAACTAGAAAGACTTTTAAATCATGTTCAGCTTAAGTGGGAATAGGTAGATATTTCAAAAGTTTGATATCTATTTTACTTAATAATCTATAATTTCAACAACTCTCCCTTTGATTTGACCTAAAACATAATTGTTACACTTCTCTTCCTCTTCTCAAAAATTTCATTCAAAATGAAATCTTTGTAATAATAATTTGGTTGTTCAGTTTTACTTTTGTGTGTGTCTAACACATTTTCATTTCTTTCTCTGTAGTTAATCACCAAGGCTGAAAAGATTAGACTGGCAAAAACTCAACAAGCAAGTAAACACATTCGATTTTCTGAATATGACTGAAGAAAATTAGACTTTACCTTTTCATTTCACTGAATATTTGAGCGATTCTTGGGAAACTCATTTTATTATGGTAGTACAACATGCTAAATGTTTTTCTAAAACACAAAAGAATCCCTAAACTTGTAAATAAGACTTTTGACAAGTACATTGCAAACCAGTTTTTTTGCCAAATATTTTATTTGAAGTAGGTAATGCAACCTCAATTGATTTCATAAATAAACGTGTTTTGAACATTATTGTTTATTTTTATTTGCAAAATAGATTCATGATTAACAAAAGTGAAAGACATGCATGGAAATGTTTAGAAATAAGCAGTAGGCTCAGGATTTTGTAACTTTCTAATTAGAATTACCTTGCAGCTGGGTGCTGTTGGCTCACACCTGTAATCCTAGCTACTCAGGAAGCTGAGATCTGAAGATCATGGTTCAAAGCCAAGCCAGACAGGAAGGTTCATGAGACTCTTATGTCTAATAAGCTACTCAGAAAAAGCCAGAAGTGGAGCTGCAGCTTAAGTGCTAGAGTGCTAGCTTTGCGCAAAAAAAGCTCAGGGGCAGAGCCCAGGCCAGAGACTAAGCCCCAGAACTAGAAAAATAAATTACCTTGAATATCTTTTCGTATTGGTATCTGTAGACATGTATGTATAATATTTTATTCTAATTGTGCTTCCATTGAAAAGAAGACATATGAACTGTTGGTAATTCAAATGTTGAATTATTATTTCTTTCTAATAAACACTTTATTTTCACTACACAGAATAAACTGTACCAGTGTCTTTGAGCCAGGTTGAGTTGTATAGGAGTCAACATCAAACAATTAAGTAGTGTCAATTTTTGCTTTTTTTTTTTAAGCAAGGATAATAGGATAAAGTAACTTGAAATGGTGGAGGGGAAAGGAACATTTATGGGAATTAAAGATTTACCATTTTATTCAGGAAAAATCTCAGGACTGGAATGTTTAATGCATTCCTAGAGCTGAATTTACAGTATCTATACAGGACTGATACTTTAGTTAGTCTTACCAAAATCCTAAGAAAGTACTTTGGATGGTACTTTAGTTAGTCTTACCAAAATCCTAAAAAAGTACTTTGGATGGTACCTTAGTCTTTTTTTTTTTTCCCCTGGGTGTGGGGCTTGAACTCTGGACCTGTCCCTCAGCTCTTCAGCTCAAGGCAAGTGCTCTACCACTTGAACCACAGCACCACTTTTCTGAATGGTTTACTGGAGATAAGAGTCTCATAGACCTGCCCATGTAATTGTAACCCCTCTGTACAATATGTTCACAAATAAAAAAAAAAAAAGAGTCTCATAGACTTCCCTGCCTGGGCTGGCTTTGAACCATGATCCTCAGATCTCAGCCTCCTGTGTAGCTAGGATTACAGGCATGAGCCACCAGCACCCAGCTCTTAGTCTTTTTCCAAAATCCTAAGAAAGTACTTTGGATGGTCATCAGATTTATTTTCTTGGACAGCACACCCATTCCTGGTTGCAGCTTTATGTAAAAGTGGGGGACTCATTTGATTGTACCTTCTGTGGGCTAAGACCTAAAATCAGGAATCTCTTCACATCTGTGAATCAGAGATTTAACTAACTTTCTGGAGAGAGAATGGAAACAGCTGATACTTACCAAAAATAAGGACAAGTTGGCAGTCATTTATTCCCTGGTTTCTCCTAAAAAAAAACAAAATATTAGCATACATGGACTTATCCAGAAGGAAGATCTATAAAGCTGTTACACTCTACTAAGAGTACAACAAATGGTGCTCCAGTAGGTAGAAATTAATCAGAAGTAAATGCCTGTTTCAGTGGTTCTTACGTCTTAGGGCAACACCAGAGACATTAAAATATATAATTTCAGAAATTACCCTTAACATTTAAAGCAAGTACTCATTCAACAAGTATGTGTTAAATATTTTACATTTGAACATTGTTATAGCACTTGAGAGTAAACAAAAATATCTCCCTTTTTTTAGGAGCTTATGTGCCAACAGGTGATAATAGATATAAGTCATACTTGTTTGAAAACCTGGGAGCTTTTTTTTTTTTTTTTTGCTGGTTCTGGTGCTTGAATTCAGGGACTAGGCACTGTCTCTGAGCTTCTTTTGCCAAGGCTAAAGCCAAAGAGACCTCTGCCTTTCAGCCACAGAGCTACTTCTATCTTTTTCCAAGTAGTTTATTGAAGATAAACTATTCATGGTCTTTCCTGCCCCAGCTAGCTTTGAACTATGATCCTCAAATCTCAGCCTCCTGAGTAGCTAGGATACAAACAGATCTGTGTTACATCCCAGCACAGCATTAAAGAACATTCTTCAAAAATGCCTTGGGAAGTTTACACCACAGAAGAGCAGTTAGCATGCAAAACTAGGAAGGAGTCAACACCAGAACCATTACTGATTATACTTATTTCTGGTTTGTTGGCCTAAGGCACAAACAGGCTGTCTTGAACATAGAGTCACACAAGTTGCACACATACAGCAGCATTTAAAGTGACTACTGTGTGACTGGTATTCTCAGACTTGGGCAGTGAACAATCTACATACCTGTATGGCAATCCAGTATACAAAATCCTTTGTATTTGAGTTGGCCTGTCTGCTAAGGAAGGTCTGACATGGCCCCAAATTAGGAACCTGATTTCACTTTGGACTTGTTCATATCTAACTAAGTCAGAACCTCACATGAGAGATGGGAATTAGAGAAGGAATCTCAGAGTTTGAACTCCTGAGACTTTACATTTGAGGACATGGTGCTTTTTCATGATGAATCTGGGCTTTATTCCAAGTACATTAAAAGGTTTTAAACTCAGTCTTGATTGTTTAGGGCTTAGCTTAAGAAAAACTGTAAAGCTGGGGCTGGGAAGGTAGCTCAGTGGTAGAGAGCATGCCTTGCATGC